GATGGGCACGCAGCGCCCCTGCCAGCACCCCTGCGGGTCTTCCCCCCACCCCGTGCCCTCTCTGTTCCCACACTGCCCCTGGCCTTCTGCTCTTCCAGACCCTCCCTGGCTTAGCAGCCGGCCCAGACGCTCCCCGCTCCACGCTTAGCCCGGAGCCCGAGTGGCACGTGGCCCAACACATGCGCTGCGCCAGCCTCCTGGGAGTGTTTCCAGGCCTTTCTCACGGGCTGGCGCTATGGCTTCACTCCCTCACGCTCACGAGGCACGGTGGGCGGCTCTGTCGCCAGGCCCCTACCACAGCAGTGGAGCACAGGCGGGGAGGACCGGGCCCAGGAAACTGTCACCCCCGTCTGACCACACACGAAGCCAGAGCCACGGAACCACAGAGCCAGAGCCATGGAACGGAACCACGGAGCCTCCGTGCTACGGAGTCACGGAACCACGGGGCCACTGAACCATGGAGCCTCCATGCCATGGAGCCACGGAGCCATGGAACCATGGAATCACAGGGCCACAGAGCCATGGAGTCACCACACCACGGAGCCAGAGCCACGGAACCACCGAACCACGAAACCTCCATGCCACGGAGGCACAGAAGCACGGGGCCTCCATGCCACGGGGCCACGGAACCACGGAGCCATGGAACCACAGACTCTCCATACCACGGAGCCACGGAACCACTGAGCCATGGAACCACAGACTCTTCATACCATGGAGCCACGGAACCACAGAGCCACACAACCATGGAGCTTTGGAGCCACCATGACACAGAGTCTCACAGCAGAGCCTTGAGGCTCTGTTCCCGAGATGTACATGGGACCTGGTACAGGAGCTGGTGTGGGCCTCCAGGAGGCCGGCGGGGGCCAGCTGCCCAGGCCTCGTACATTGTTTGTGGGTCCCAAAGGCTCAGAGCTCTGGGCGCGAGTCCCACCCTGGGAGAGGGGTTTCATCCTCTGTGCTCTTTCCTGCCCTGCACTGTGCACCCGAGGGGCCCATCTTACTGGCCTACATGGAGACAAACGTGGGTGGCAGAGGCCAGTGGGGGGGGGGGGGGGGCTCTGCTCAAGAACCAGCCTGGCCAGTCTCCCCTAACGTGCCCTGCCGACACCCCACTGGGCTCTCGGGGCCACTTGACGAGGACAGGATGTTCCTCCAGGCCCAGAGAGGCCAGAGCCAGCAGCCAGCGCCCTCTTGTGCGGGGGGGGGGGGGGGTCTGCTCTCTGGGGTGGGGGTGTGGGGCACCGTCCGCGCCTCTGCCATCAGCATTCCGACAGCGTGAGATGACGGATATGTTTAATACTGGGGACCTGTCATTTATTTATTAGCTGGAGACGGGGCTGCCGCCAAGAAGGGTGCATTATAAATCAGCCCTTTCCCGGCCATTAAAAATTAATACAGTTCATAATGCAGGACGTCAGTAATTTCTTTATTAGAGCCGAGTGCTGGCGTGGCGCTCTCTCTCTCTCTCTCTCTCTCTCTCTCTCTCTCTCTCTCTCTCTCTCTCTCTCTCCACTCTCCCTCTCTCCGCCCCTCTGTCCCCCTCTCTCCTTCCCTCCCTCTCTTTCTCCCTCCTTCTCCCCCCCCCACTCTCTCTCTCTCCCACTCTCCCTCCCTCCACTCTCTCTCCCTCCCTCTTTTTTTTACAGGCCTCATTTCTGTCCACTCCCTTTCCCAAGGACACCGTTTTTTTTCTGGTGACCAGCAAGCACCAAGGGAGGGTGACCCGGTTCCCCGCAAGGCTCAGTCACAAGGGTCCCGCAGTACCCCACCCTGAGTCTGGAACTCTGAGGCCTTCTGGGTCCCAGAGAGGCCAGAGGGAAAGAAACGCAAGATGAGGGTGGGGGGGAGATGGAGGGGGGATGGGAGGGCGTGGGGCGGGGGGATAGAGAGGTGGGGTGCGGGAATAGGAGGGAGGTGTGGTGGAGCTGGGTGTGGATATGGAGTGAGGGAGTGGGGGATGAGGGCGGGGGTGGGAGGTGGGGGGGCAAGAGGCTGGGCAGAAGGCTGGCACTGAGGCATCAACGCAGAGCCTCAGGGCCTGCCACTGCCCTGGCAGACCTCATCAGACGCAGGCACGGGCCAGCGTGCAAGTGTCTGCCCAGGACTGCGGGTCTGGGGGACAGGCGGGGCTCAGTGCTCACCCACCCCCACTTGGCACAGCCAAGCACGTACAGGGCTAGGTGGGACCAGCCCAAAAGGGTCCCCGCCATTGAGGGCCAGGCCTAACTACGTGGTGTGTGTGTGTGTGTGTGTGTGTGTGTGAACATGTCTGTGAATGTGTGTGAGTGAGAGAATGTGTGAGTGTGTGTGGGTGAACGTGAGTGTGTGAGTGTGTGTGTATGTGTGTATGTGTTACTGTGTGTAAGCATGAGTCTGAATGTGTGTGACTGTACATGAATGTGTATAAGTACATGTGACTGTGTGACTGTGTGTGTGTCTGAGTGTGAGTGTGACTGTGTGTGTAAATGTGTGCGAGTATATATGTATGTGTGAGTCTGAGTATGTTACTGTGTGTGAATGTGTGTCCGTGAGAACGTGAGTGTGTGACTGTGTGAGTCTGACTGTGATTGTGGGTGTGAATGTGTGTGGATGTGTGAATGTATGAGGGCGTGTGAATGTGTGTGTGCGCGTGTGCAAGAGTGCGTGAATGTGTGAGTATGTGTGAATGTGTGTGTGTGTCTGCACAATCCCCCTGCTCCCACATACCCATCGAACCGCTCGCCCTTTGGAAGCCCCAGGGCTTTGCCACACAAAATCACCAGGTTCAATTCAGACCCCCAAAGACGCAAGGGATTCTCCGCTGGGACACTCAGGGCCGTGGCAGCAGCAGTAATTTGCCAAACCCAGGAACACGAGTGCATGTCTGCAGCCCAGGAAGGGCCTGGGCATGGGGGCAGCTGCGGCCTCTCCTGGGGGAAGGTGGACCCCAGGCAGAGCTGAGGGCTGATTCCTGGCCGGCCAAGCTGGGGAGCAGCACAGGGAGCGGCTATGCAGGGGTGCCAGAGACTACCTGGCCACACCCAGCAGTGCTCGGGAAACCGACGCCACGTGAGAGGGTGAGCCAGGCCTGCACCTATGGGACCCCTGGCCCCCGAGCACTTTTTAAAGAGAGGATAGGGCACTTGCCTTGCACGCAGCCGACCAGGGCCGACCCTGGTTCAATTCCTCCGCCCCTCTCGGAAAGCCCAGCAAGCTACTGAGAATACCGCGCCCGCACGGCAAAGCCTGGCAAGCTCCCCGTGGCGTATTCGATATGCCAAACACAGCAACAACAAGTCCCATAATGGAGACATTACTGGTGCCCGCTCGAGCAAATCAGTGAACAACAGGAGGACAGTGCTACAGTGCCAGAGCATTCACAGTGGGCAGCATTACCCCTGATCGCTTCATTAGCTGCCTGTCTACACCACAGAGTCAGAGTGTGACAAGGGGGTGCAGACGGGATGGGGCGGGTGTGTGACAGTCGCCGAGATGGTGACTGACCCCAGGTCTGGCCCCTAGGTCACAGCTCTGAAGGGTTGGGAGCGTCTGGGTTTGGGGATAAATCGGGAAAATCCACCTTCTTGCATGTCTCCCTCGAACGGGGGCCACAGTGACTCGATGCCTTGTCTGGGGAGGCCCAGCCCCAGCAGTTTGGTCTCCAAGGCAGAAACCAAGGACAAGCTTGCAGGAGCCTGGAGCCAACCCGCTCCTACGGGAACCTTCGGCTTCCCAGAAGGGGGTCGGGGGATGGATGGTCCCGACTGGCCGAGCCGGCCATCCAGGGGACAGCAGGGCAGTCCTCACGGGACCCAAGAGCCGAGAGGACAGCAGCCTCCTTTATGTCCCCGTGATGTCAAAGGCTTCATGAAAGGAGCAGGAGTGGGGGATAGGGCCCCCCCAGTACCCCCCTCAGGCAGTGAGGCTCGGGAAGGAAGTAAAGGAAGCCAGAACTCAAAGAAACCATCACAAACCCCAGCCGCCACCTTGGACCCACACAGGCTGCAGGGGCTCTGGGGAAGGTCAGCAGCGTCCACCGAGGACCAGCACTGGGCCCCAGGGCCCCCAGGAGGACGGTCAGCACCCCACTCCCAGGCCTGAACCAGTCTGTCGAGCTCCCCCAGCAGGCGGGCGCCCCAACTCTGAAACCGCCCCACCCCACACCCCCTCCCCAGCTGAAAGCACCAGGATGCCTGTCGGCCACAGGCCCCGGTTGAAGGCCGCCCGCCCGCCAGCCTGCCCGGCCAGCAAGTGTCCCACAGTCACCATGCTCCAGGACAGTCACATGGAGGAGGCGGGCAAGGCGGTGAGAGAGAAGGGCGCAGCGAGAGCACGGGAAGGGGACCCCAGGAGAGACAGCCCAGCGGCGAGCTAACAGGAGGCTCTGCCAGCCGGGGCCAGTGAGGACAGAACAAAATGGGCAGAAGCAGGGGTGGGGCAGGGGGTGCTGCCGGCAGACGCACGAAGCCCGGCCTGGGCACGTGGCCTCCCTCTGGCCACTCCCCAATCCCAGGGGCCCCGGCACGGCTCCCGAAGGAGCAGCTCATTTTGGGGGGAACTATGCAGAGGTGGAGGGCACCCTGGGGTGACCAGGCCTAGCCTGGACCTGGGCTCACAGCAAGGGGCAGCCCTGTGGGGTGGGTCCGGCAGGGATCTCAGGAAGTGCACATCGGGGGGTCGGGGAAACAGCCCTTCCTTCCTCTCACCCCCTGCAGTGCCTCAGGGAGCTGTGGTGGACAGAGTCGGGGTCTGGGTGCCAAGCTCCAGCCTCCAGGCGGCTCCTGTTCTGGGCCTCCCCACCCCCAGAGTCCCCTGGCTCGAGCTAGTCTCACACTTGGACATGAACAGGCGTGGGGGGCACCTCCTAGAGAGAGTGGGGGGAGAGATCAGCAGGTGGTAAATCCCAGCCCCCACCCCCAAGGTTCCAGAAGGTTTGGGAAGGTTCCGGAAGGTTCTGGAAGGTTCCAGAAGCCCAGCCCTGTGGCCTTTTACCCTCCCGCTCACTCCCTCCTGGTACTCACACGTGTCGGGCTTGTGGCAGTTGTGGCCCTGGCGGAAGTACTGGGGGTTCTCGATGACAGGGATCCGCGTCATGCCAATGACCACCGTGTCGGGCCCGGCGTCCAGCGAGGATGGCGTGGTGATGCCATGGTTGATGTGGTGCAGGGGGCTGGCTGAGTCCTCCTCACCGCTGATGACAGCCACGGGCCCTGGGCACGGGACAGAAGGCTCAGGGGGCTGCAACACACCCTTGGCACTGACCCTGCCCCCCCCAAGGCCAGCATGACCCTGGACGTACCCCCGGCCACCCCTCAGGAGCAGGTGTAGCCTTGAAATAACAAGGAGGCATTTAACTCGGGGCCAGAGCCACAGCGCAGAGGGGAGGGGGCTTGCTTGAGTCCCCCCAGGTTTGATCCCCAGCACCCCCTATGGTCCCCTGAGCCCACTAGGAGTGACCCCCGAGCACGCAGCTGGGAGCAAGCCCCGAGCAGCACCGGATCCAGATAAATCAATAAGTTCTTGCCAGAAGCTGCAACAACGGGCGCTGAGGGACACCCCAACACATGCCAGGGCGAGCCCCCTGAGCCCAGCAGGATGGCCTTCTGACTGTGCCCACCCCAGGCTCACTCCTAGGGAGACTCACCCCCGGCCCCCAACTGTTCCCTGAGAGCAACCGAGGCAGGTGCTGCCTCCGTGAAGCAGGACCAGAACCCAGCCCCGGCCCCTGGGACACGAGTCCGAGTGCCGAGGGTTCAGGGACGGGTGGTGGTGCCACCCACACGCCGCCCACTCACAGCGGCGGGAGGGGCAGTACGATCATCTGGCTCGGTCAAAAGCATCGCGCCTTCAAGTCCACCCCAGCCTCAGGCCCCTCGGCATCCCGGGGGGCTCCTCTGGAACAGCGTCCACGCCCCAAACTGGATTTCCTCTGGATCCGTTCCTGGGTTCCCCCCCCCCCCCCCGATCTGACCGGGACAGCCAGCCCGACAGCCACGGGGACAGTGAACAGCAGAGCTAGTCCTCAGCAGGATGCTGGGCACTGGGGCAGGGGGCGCGGGGAGTCACAGATGGGCGCAGGAGGACAGCGCAGGAGGGAATTGAGGCTGGGGTGTGGGCAGGAGGGCAACGGGGACCCTGGTGGAGGGTGGCAGGCACTGGTGAAGGGGTGGATGTTGGAACATCGTATGCTGGTTCTCAACCATAAGCTTCTCCTTTACAACTTCCTAATTCCCAGTGAGTCAAGAGACAATAAATTTTTTGAAAAAGAAAAGAAAGGGTGAGACGGAACAGCCAGCCTATTGAGTGAAGAAAGTGATTGAGGGCGGGGAGACGGCCAAGGAATTTCAACAAGGCCATCGGGGTACTGCTCAGGGTGTGTGCTGGGCTCTTGGACCCAGAAGGAAACAATTCTTTATAAAAAAAAAAAAAGTCTTGGGGCTGGAGTGATAGCACAGCAGGTAGGGCATTTGCCTTGCACGCGGCCGACCCGGGTTCGATTCCCAGCATCCCATATGGTCCCCTGAGCACCGCCAGGAGTGATTCCTGAGTGAAGAGCCAGGAGTAGCCCCTGTGCATTGTCGGGTGTGACCCAAAAAAAGCAAAAAACAGTCTTCTCCCCCAGCCCAGGATTGTGGACATGTCCCTGGAGAGCAGGAGGGCAGGAACTCTAAGGACAGTCGGGGCACGGCAGAGATTTTAGTACCTGGCGACAGAGGGACCCAAACCAACATCCATCTATACTGGCAGGTGGGGGCCGTGGCCAGCTCGGGCTGCTCCCAGTGCATCTGAGACAGCACCTGCACCCGCCCCGGCCTGGGGCTACCCCCGGGGCTCTATGCCCGTAGGCAGGCGCCCGGCTGCCAGGCACTTGGCCATGCTCCTGTGTGCGGATTCTCCCAGCAACATGCCCTCCGGCCTCCACAGCAAACGGAAGCTCCATCACGCCGCAAAGCAACCCAGGCAAATGTGGCAGCTGGGTCCAAATTGCGACTCTCCGCCCGCCAGGCAGGCACCTGCGGGGGCCCGGAGAGGCTGACCTTCTCCTGCCCGGTGACCCGCTGGACAGCCGCAGTCAGCCAGTGCTCCTGGTCTCTCCTCTGTCCAGGTTCTGTGTGGAGTCGGAGGAGGGTGGGCCCCCTCTCTGATTCACACGCCCGAGTTCGGCTCGTCCCACCAACTGCCCCAGCCCCCAGCCCCTCGCAAGATCTTTCCCTCCTGGGGTCCAGGTTAGGCACAGGCAGGCAAGCGGCACCCAGAACACCACCCAGCCAGCCCTGCTCCCACCCCAAGGTCCGGACACGTGTGACCAGGCATCCTCGGGTGAGACACAAATGTGAACGTGACCTTAGACCTGCGGGGTGCAGACGGGAAAGTTCAGGGGTCAAATCTAAGAATGGTTTAGACCACAGGCCCATGGGGGGGGGCGGGAAGAGCCACGAAGAGGCTGCTCCCCGCCCCCCCTTCCCACGGCTCCCAGATGTCCCCAAAGCTGCCTCGGCTATGGCGACTTCAGAGAGCCCAGTGGGAGTGCTGGCCTGCTTGGGCCGGCCAGTGTCCCCCCGTGTCCCTCTGACGGTGACACTGATTTTCCATCTCGCCCTGCCACTCTCCCAGGTGTCCATCACCGCCTGGGTCCTTCCTTGGGGGCGTCTCAACATACTTGGATTGCAAAACTGCCACAGGGACCAGCCACTGTCTGCTGCCCCCAGCCACTGCCCCCTCAGGGAGCGGCCAGCCATTGCCAGTGCAGAGTCAGTATCTATCTCAGACCTTTATTGGATGTGGGGAGGCCAGGCTACATCCCAGATTCCTGATGGACCATCAGCGAGGGGCGGGGACGGGCAGCTGGGTCAGAGCGGGCAGGGGTCCCCGCACCGTATCTGTCGCTAAGTGCTGACACCAGAAGCTTCTGTCTGGGGACTCCCTAAGGGGCTGCCCAGGGTGGGGGCACTCAGGTGTCTGGAAGCCAAGCAAGCACCGGGCTCTGAGCCAGGGGTCCGGGCTCTCACGATAGGAAGGCCCAGCCCCCCCGCCCCCATATCCCACCCGCGTCCCCCCTTTCCTGCCATCGCAGGGAAATGTCAGGATAAAATGTAGGCTACGTATTTAGATTTAATTCCTCCGTGAGCCCAGGGAAGGCTCAGGCTGATTAAAATGGAAATTGGGGCCTGCAAAGTCAATCCCGGCCGGCAGGAGCGAGTCTGTAAGGCGGGGTGGGGGCAGGGGTGGGGGCGGTGTCAGGGGCCAGTTCCCCCGGTGCCGACGGCCACCACCTACCCGGTTTCACTGGGGCAGGGCAGGCCGAGGTGCCAAGGCCCACACAGGTTCCTCGGCCGGGCACTGAGACGCCCCTCTGTGTCTGGGTGACAGGGCCCAGAAACGAGCCGGGGACAGAAGACGCAGGTGGACACATGCACCGGACGTGGCCTGAGGGGGCCCAGCTGGCCTGGGCGTCCTCCTGGACATGCCGAGTACTGCATGTCCTCTCCTGCACCCACAACCCCCGCCCCGACACCGGGCAGAGCTGGGCTGATTATCCCTCAGTTGCTCACCCCCGGCCCTTGGGCTCATGCTGCGTCCACGTGCACCCAGAGGACGCTGCAGCTGCCTGAAATGGGCACAAACCTTCGTGCGCGGGTACTGGAGAGTGGCTGGGCCTAGGCCACGCAGCGGAGTGTAGCTTACAGGGCCCCAACGCCCCCAGAGCACCGACAGTGGCCCCATGTGCAGACGCAGGAAGGGCCTTTGAAGGCCTGAGGGCACTCCCCAGGAGGGGGTCAGCAGTGTCCCCCCTCTCACAACTGGAGCCCACAACAGACTCACAGGTTCAGTTCCTGGGCTCGGACCCCGGGGGCCACAAGTTTGTCCCCCATGAACAACCTTCCCCAGCGACACGCAAAACCAAGGGCACCAAGGGCGGGTCTGCAGGGGTGCGGGCACAGGGGGGCTCTGGCACGCTGCAGTCCCATGCTGAGACTGGCCCTTCCCCGAGCCCCAGGGGCTGTGGCCTCCAGCTGACGGGACAAGGCCTGGGGCCCAGCTCCCAGCCCACCAGCTCAGCCACACTCAGAGCATCAGTCCCAAGCTCATGTGACGGGCGTGTCCCTGCAAAGTCTCGGCAAGAAGAGCCAGGGCTGCGAGACGGCGGCACGGGTGTGCAAGCGGGCACACATACATGTGCGTGCACACATGCAGGCACAGACGTGTGCAAGCACACACGTGTATGCATGTGGGCACACACGCGGACACACTCGGGTGCATGTACACAGGTGGGCACACACGTGCATAACGCACGGACACACACACATGCATATACACATGGCACACACATGCATACGCACACGGGCCCACACCCATGCATACACATGGGCAGAAGTGTTCTCCACGGAAGAGCCTCGAAGTTCGCCTGCACTTCTTCCCTTGGCCAAACCAACTGCCCCAGTGACTCACCAAGACAGACCCCTCCCCTCACTAGACCCCCCAGCAGCCAGACACGGGGCCTCCTCCTCACAAAAGCACAGGACCCTCAGTAGGCATCAGGTGCAGCTGGGATGCTGACAGACCCCAGACCAGCTGCCCCCAAGTCAGGCTTCCCAGGAAGCCTGGGAAAGGGGGGAGGGTCTGCTGGGAACCGCCATCAAATTCATGCTCTCGGCTTATTCCGTCCGTGGGTCTTGGCGCCCACACTCTCGCAAGAACCAACATTCATTTTTATCCTTATTTCCCGGAGAATGGCTTAAAGGAGAGATCCCCACCTCCAGGTTTGCTGCTCCGGGCTTAGTAACCGGTGGCGCTCCAAGTGCAAGTCTCACTGCCCAGAACAGACCCCCACGCCCCTCCTCAATCCTGGGAGCTGGACGCGGAGTGACCGCTAAGGCGGGGGAATCCTCTGAACCGCCCCCAGGGCTGCTGGGCTGAGAGAAGGTAAGTGACGCGCTCCGCAGAGCAGAGGGGAGGGGCAGCAGTTAGGGAACCCGGGGTCCAGCGCCCCGCCCGATGGCCAGGTGATGCGGGAGTCCGGCCCTGGGTTGGCACTTGTGCTAGCTGTCCATGGGGGCCCGGGAACCCCAGAAGCTGCTTCCAGGGGGTCTCTGACATATGGACACACGTGTTCGAATGTGGGTTAATAAATACAAATTGGTGTGGGGGGCGGGGGAGCGTGGCTCAGGAAGTGTCTGAGGGCAGCGCTGCTGGATGCCGTGGGGGACGC